GAGGCTGACGGAGGCAATGTGCCCGCCACAACGCTCAATAAACAATAGCATGCGAGAGATACTCAGCTCACTAACAAAGCTGCATGCGAGTGCCCTGGAGGAGTACTCCAGAATAAAGGCAAGCAGACGGAGTATCTTCAACATACCGGTGACTGCTGAAACCCCGAAAAGGCCCCGAGATGAAAGCCAACTAAAGCGTAGGACGCCACCCAAGAAAAACAAAACCACGCAGGAGGAGGTGACCACCAACCCTGCAACCAAACAGAGTAAGGTGGCGCCAAACGAAAATTCCGGCAAGATTAAGGAGAAGGAGGTGGAGAAAGAAGGAAAATGGGTAGAGGTCCAACGCAGGTCACATGGCAAAAAGAAGATGGCATACAAACCACCACCACGGCCAGATGCCATCATTATAGCTCGGACGGGAGATATGACCTACAGCGATATACTAAGGACCGTAAAAAAGGAAGAGGCGCTGCAGAAACTCGGCGAGAGCGTATCACGCATCAGAAAGACGGTGAAGGGTGAAATACTGCTGCAGCTTAAGGAGACGCAAATGAAGGACACGGGCGAACTCAAGAGCAAAATAGGTAGGCTTCTAGGGGACCAGGCACAGATCAGAGCCCTAACCCACGAGACGATGGTAGAAATCCGTGACCTGGACGAGATTACCACCAAGGAGAATATTGCCGAGGCCATCCGCAACCAGATAAAGGAGCTAAACCACCTTAACGAGAGTGCGATAAAAAGCATCAGGGCGGCTTATGCGGGCACACAAACCGCGGTGGTAAATCTCCCAGCGCAGGAGGCAAGATTACTTCTTGACGCGCAGAAAATAAAGATAGGATGGGTTGTGTGCAGAGTAAGGGAGAAACCGAACCCCAAAAAATGCTTCAGGTGCCTGGAATATGGCCATATAGCGAGAGACTGCAAAAACGCGGAAGACAGAAGTCAATGCTGCCTAAAATGTGGAGAAAATGGACACTTTGCGAAAGCCTGCGACAAAAAGCCACACTGCAGAGCATGCAAGAACCAGGGAAGAAAGAACACCGAGCACCAGATAGGTAGTTGGAGGTGTCCGCTATACCAGGAGGCGTGCAAGAAATCAAGAAAATGAGAGTCATGCAGTTGAATCTCAACCACTGCGAAGCAGCGCAAGAGCTGCTCAGGCAAACGGTGTACGAGGAGAAGGTGGACATAGCAATAATCAGCGAGCAGTATAAAAAAAAAAAAAAAAAAAAAAAAATATAGACAGTGGAGCATGGATATCGGACCTCACTGGCAAAGCTGCAATATGGACATGCGGAGGAAAAGCCTTCCAAGAAAAGCCGCTGCTTGGTAAAAGCTACTACACACGAGCGAAGGTAGACGGTTTTAACTTTTATAGCTGCTACATACCACCAAGTATCCCACAAAATGAATACGAGAACATCCTAGACAGTTTGGTTCAAGAAGTCCGGACCACCACAATGAACGTTATAGCAGGGGACTTCAATGCATGGGCAGTGGAATGGGGTAGCGTCCACACAAACAGGCGGGGAGATGCACTACTAAAGGCGTTTTCGGTACTTGATGCGGTGCTTCTGAATTCGGGGAACAAAAATACCTTCGAGAAGAATGGTCGAGGCTCGGTGATTGACATTACTTTCGCTAGTAGTTCCTTGGTGCGCTCAACGAGCTGGAAGGTGTCGGACCTCTATACGCACAGTGACCATCTGGCAATCATGATGGAGCTAGGGAATCGTGCACAGAGCCGACAAAGGGCGATCACCAGGAAGGTGCAAACGAGGGGCTGGAAGGTAGAGACTCTGGATGAAGAGCTCTTCAGACTCGTGCTGGATGAGGAAATGGCCACTGAGGATAACACTGAGCTCCAGGCTGAAACACTGGTGAGGCACATCAGTAAAGCCTGCGACGGTGCTATGTGCAGGAGAAAACACGGCTCTCTCAGGCAGCCGGCGTACTGGTGGAACGAAAAAATCCAGGCCATAAGGGGTGAGTGTCATAAGGCGAGGCGGTTGTGTCAAAGGAACCGTGGCTCGATGGAACATGCCGTGCTGCGCGAAGCCTTCAAAAAGAAGCGAAGTGACCTTAAAAAAAGCCATCAAAAGCAGCAAAACCAGCTGCTTTAAGGAGCTCTGCGAAAAGGTGGACGAAAACCCATGGGGTGATGCCTACAAGGTGGTCATGAAGAAAATAAAAGGTGGTAAAGGCCAGGCACCAACCTGTCCCACCCTCCTAAAAGACGTCGTGCAAACTCTCTTCCCTGTGCAAACGCCAGGAGGTCGGCGACCGCAAGCGGAGAAACCGGAGGGAATGGAAGCACCAACGGTTACAGACGAGGAGGTGGTCCAAGCAGCAGAAAGATTTGGTAATGACAAAGCGCCAGGCCTAGACGGAATACCAAACAAGGCTCTGAAGGTTGCCATCAAGCACAACACGGGTCCGTTTACCGAACTCTTTACGCGGTGTCTGCGAGAAGGCGTCTTCCCAAAAATCTGGAAGAAACAGCGGCTGGTCCTACTGCAGAAACCAAACAAGCCGGCAGGAGAACCAAGCGCATACCGACCTCTCTGTATGCTGGATACGCTTGGTAAGATACTGGAGCGATTAATTTGTGTACGGTTGGAGCAGCACCTAGAGGAGGAACTGCCGGGTCTCGCCGATAACCAGTATGGATTTCGAAGACAGAGGTCTACCATTGATGCAATTAAAAAGCTCACCGATGTCGCAGGCAAGGCAATAGAAGGAACAAGATGGCTATATGGCACGAAGGAATACTGCGCGGTGGTGACATTCGACGTAAAAAACGCCTTCAACTCGGCATCCTGGCCTCACATACTAAGTGCTCTGGAAAGAAAGAACACGCCGCCCTACTTGCTAAGGATGGTATCCAACTACCTATCTGACAGGCTTCTGCTGTATGATACCGACGAAGGCCCCAGGAAGTACTTGGTGACGGGTGGAGTACCACAGGGCTCCGTACTTGGGCCACTACTTTGGATTGTCCTCTATGATGGAATTCTGAGACTGCCGCTGCCAAGGGAGGTACAAATTATCGGATACGCCGATGATATAGCAATAACAGTAGTGGCCAAAGACCTCTACCAAGTTGAGAACATCTGCAACAGCACGGCGCAGCAAATAAAGAACTGGCTCGCTGCAACGAATCTCCAACTCGCAGGGCAAAAAACCGAAGCGGTGGTGATCACAAGCCGAAAAAAGATGGAGAGCGTTACGCTCAACATCGATGGACATAGCATCAAAACACAGCAGTCGCTGAAATACCTGGGTGTCATGATAGACTCGAGATTAAGCTACAAGGTGCACATTGATAAAGCTTGTGAAAAAGCGGCAAGAGTGACCACGGCTCTAACAAGACTAATGGCTAACATCGGCGGACCGAGTCAAAACAGACGAGCGCTTCTAGCAAAAGTGAGCCAGTCCACACTAATGTATGCAGCACCCATCTGGGGACCCGCGTTGCAGCGCAAGACTTACACGAAGGCGGCAAAGTCGGTGTACCGACTAAATAGCATCAGGGTGACTAGCGCCTTCCGTACTGTGTCACACGAGGCGGTCGGAGTCTTAGCGGGCATCATGCCCCCAGAAATAATGGCCATGGAGCTAAAAAGAGTCTTCGATTGTCAGGCACCTGCCTAAGTTTCGGGACTTATCGAAGAC